AAGAGCTAGCTACCTCCCGACTCCATTAGAGCGGAGGGCAAGTTAGCCTGGCTCCCGGTGAGGCATTCAAGATGTCTCTGCCCTTTGACTTGAGCAAGACCCCTTGTGGCTATTTATTTTTTAAGGATGGATGCCACCAGAAGTTAAGTATGAGAAGAGAAACACGGCGCTCGCTGTTCATAACAGTGAACAGGTCACCAGAGCAGTACTGCGTGATGGAGTTACCTTTACCTTTTCTATAACTTGGATCACATCATCCACTCCATCAAATAAAGTCATTTGGTACAAAAGAAAAAAGGAGTTAGAAATCCTCTAATGCCTTCGAAAGGAAACTCTTAAACTCTGGTACAACCATATAATGGAGTAATATGTGTAGCTGGTAAGTAGGAACATTTTTTCTACATCAATATTGTTGAATAAATTGTTAATGGGGGAAATAGAGTACAGGACAGTATATACAGAGGACATGTTTAGTAATCTCTTGGGTTCCTTCCTACTAAGGTGGTATTTTATCAAAATTTTCTTACAATAAAGATTAGACACTGCGGACGACATATCCAGTGCCCGACCAAGAAACGGGTAACAGGTGGAAAATGGAGTGTGCCCAGGGCCTCTTTGGAGGGAGTATATCATGGGACCAACCCCAAAACCAAGGCTCAATAGACCGAGAGAGTGCCAGATCCATTCCTGATTGGAATTCCTGAATTTAATGGACACTGATTTAGTCTCTAAGTTTTCCCATCTGCAAGGTAGTAACAGGAATATTCTCAGCAGAACGCCCCATTCACGTCTGGAAATTTAAGAATCAGCCAGGCCAGGCCAGCCCAGCCAGTGTTGCTCAATGATTGAGAGTCGACCCATAAACCAGAAGGTGATGGTTCAATCCCCGATCAGGGCACATGCCTGAGTTGTGGGCTTAGTCCCTGGTGGGGACGAGAAGGAGACAGCCAATCAATGTATTCCTCTCATTGATTTCTATCCCTCTTCCTTTCTGTCTCTAAAATCAATAAAAATATATTTTTTAAAAAGAATCAAATTGAGCCAAAACCGGTTTGGCTCAATGGATAGAGCGTCGGCCTGCAGACTGAAAGGTCCCAGGTTCAATTCTGTTCAAGGGCATATACATTGGTTGCGGGCACATCCCCAGTAATGGGTTTGCTGGAGGCAGCTGATTGATGTTTCTCTTTCATCGATGTTTCTAACTCTATCCCTCCCCCTTCCTCTCTGTAAAAAAATCAATGAAATATATTTTTAAAAATAAAATAAAATCAGATGGATAGAAGCTCTTCCTCAGGGGAAAAGCACATCCACACTCAGGGAGCAGTACCCCCAGAGTGGGGTGAACACCCATTGACGGTCTGTAGGAGCCTTCAGTGGCAGTAAGTGCCAGCCACGTAGGACCCTGTCCTCCAGGGCTTGGAATTGTGCACTTGACGAGCCTCCCGTGTGCAGATGTTTGCACGTTTGATCCTCCTTTCGGTGGCTGTGGGCATTGTGTAGCCCCGGGTCTTGCTAATAAAGGTAAATAAAGAACCCTGACAGCCTTTTATTCCGCCTTCTGCTGCCGGGCTTCTGGTCAACCCGCTGGCTGGTGCGGACCTGCCCGCCGGATCAAAGCGGCAAAGCTGATGAAAGAAGCCGCAAATACCTGTGTGGGTGGGGTCGAGGGGAAGGGCGCGCAGAGGTCAGCGAGGCAAGGCCTTGGGCTGCCTCTGGGAGGACTTGCCAAGACGTCCCACCTGTTTGCCGCTGCTCACAGCCTCCTGGCGCCCTTCGTTCCAGTCCCTTCTGTGCACGGGCCACGGCCACTGCCCTCTGCCGCCGCCGCCCAGTTCACCCGTGACCCTCGCCTAGCGCCATCCACCAGCGCATCTTGCCCACCCTGTCTCTGAATTTTGGGAATTTGGGGTGTTACAAAGATCGGGTTTCTGGCATTCAGAATCTACCAACTGTGGTGGAGATTGGTTTCAAAATAGTCTTACCCAGCCAAAACCGGTTTGGCTCAGCGGATAGAGCGTCGGCCTGCGGACTGAAGGGTCCCGGGTTCGATTCCGGTCAAGGGCATGTACCTTGGTTGCGGGCACATCCCCAGTGGGGGGGTGTGCAGGAGGCAGCTGGTCGGTGTTTCTATCTCATCGATGTTTCTGACTATCCCTCTCTCTTCCTCTCTGTAAAACATCAATAAAATATATTTTTAAATAAATAAATAAATAAAATAGTCTAACCCAGCTGGGCTAGGTAAAACGGTAAACGATCTGAGATTGGGAAGATTGTTGGTTTAAGGTAGTCGTCGGCAAACTCATCAGTCCACAGAGCCAAATACCAACAGCACAATTGAAATTTCTTTGGAGAGCCAAAATTTTTAAACTGAAACTTCTCCTAACGCCACTTCTTCAACATAGGCTCGCCCAGGCCATGCATGGTATTTTGTGGAAGAGCCACACTGAAGGGGCCAAAGAGCCGCCTGTGGCTCTCGAGCCGCAGTTCGCCGACCACAGTTTAAGGGTTTAAGGAATATGGGTCGTCAATCACACCAAAAGACGTGGCGGGGAGGGTGGGGGTGGGGGGAAGTGTGGCCAAGCAGTGTCCTGTGTTTTTAAATTTGCTGTGGGAATAGCGTCATAAACGTGTCGTCTTCTAAATAGGATTCTTTGTGGCCCCTTTTAAGTCCGGAGCCCGTTCCTAACTGGCAAGTTCCCCGTTGGGACCCTGCTCGGTCCTGGTATACGCAGGAAATAGGCCTAATTTAAAAGCAGCTTCCATTAAACATGGCTTTTAACGTTAAGTCAACTGTGAGAACGATCATTTTCTCAAACTAAATATTTGTGCTTGGATCCCGTGCGTGAGCCTGGTTGTTTCTGAGGTTAGGCTATAAATGGGACTTAAGCACCTTAATATCGACCGGCTCTCTTCAAAGCAGAGGCCAGGAGCCTGGCCAGCCCTCCTGGAAGATGTTGGGAATGTCTCTGAGAGTGCCTGCCCGCGTGGGCCACCGCCGCACCTCCAAAGCCCCGAGACCGCCTCGCTCCTGGGGCGCGGGGACGCCTCCCGTGGCCCCCGCCTGGCAGGCTCTCGCCCGCAGCCCGCAGCCCCTCTCTCCAGGTGTGCCAGCATCAAAGCAGGGGGGTGCCGGGTGCTCCCGATCGAGATGCTTCTGAAGGCTCACTGCCCTCGGGTGCTGTTTGATGCGTTTGATTGTGGAATGAAAGCCAAGTGCAGGAATGAGAGGTCCTGTTTATTACCTCGTATTCCGCGCGCTGTTCCTCCAGGCGCTTCAGCATCTCGGGGGAGAGCGTGCAAGACGGGGACCCCGCCTGAGCAGAAGGCCCGAGCGCTGGCTGCTGGGGTCCTCGGGCTGTTGGCCTCCGGCAGAGGAGTCTGGGCCATCTCCTGCTTCCCCCCATTGCTCTGGACAGCCCGTTGAGTGTCCAAGATTGGAACCGGGCCCTCGCCGGTTTGGCTCCGTGGATAGGCCATCGGCCTGCAGACTGAAGGGTCCCTGGTTCGATTCCGGTCAAGGGCACATGCCGGGTTGTGGGTTCATTCTCTAATAGAGCCAGGAAGAGCTCCTTTAGGGTCACTCCTGACTGCAGCCTGTGTGTGTGTGTGTGTGTGTGTGTGTGTGTGTGTGTGTGAGAGAGAGAGATATGGGGGGGGGGGAGACAAGTAGCAGAGGAGACTGGATGTGTTCAAGTACACGGAGTCTCAGATCAGCAAGAAAGAGTCCCGAGCAGAACTATTATAGGACAGCTTCGGCAGCGCGGCACCCAGAGCGCCCGAGCTTGTGAAGCTGCAGAGGACTTGGCGGTATCCCTGAGCATTTCCCTGTCCTGCTTGGTTAGTGCGAAGCACAGGGAACGGACTTGTTCTGAAAAGGTGGGCTACGTCTGCCCTCTAGTGGGCATTGGCCTACTTCGTCCATTAGGTCCAGCGTTGCTTTCTTATGCTGCCACTATATGGGGTGATGATTCTTTCTATCTAAGGGGTTGGTTTGTTTTTAATCTATTAAAACAACATTTTAATAAATTGAAATTTGGAGATTTTGGAGAGAGGAAGAGAGACATTGACTTACTGTTCCACTTCTTTATGCATTCATCGGTTGATGCTTATATGTGCCCTGAATCTTCTAGAAGGTCCTTCCACGTCCCTCTCCCCGCCATGTTAGAGGTTGTCTTACTTCCCTAACAAAGTTCAGGTTCCTAAATGCCGAGATTATGTTTTATGTCTTTTTCTTCTATAGCGTCTATCCACTGTCCGCTTAGCTGGACATAAAATTAAAAGCTCCATTGGGACGGAAACGGAATTCTTTTTTTCAAAAAAAAAAAAAAAAAAGAACCTCGGCACTTCTCATTTGTTCCTAAAACATTCTAATCTCATCGCGCTGATCAATAGTTTCCCAAGTAGTTAAGTCATCAGGATCCCTCCGAAAACCTTCAGAGCTGCTTCCTGGGCCTCCCTCCAGCCCAGCTGAATCAGGCTCTGTGGTTTGAGCCAGGAAATCTGCTTTACAAACTTCCCAAGTGGTTTCTGATGTGCGGCCAGGTTTGGCAGCCAACGGCTCCGAATCCCCATTTACGGCGGTTTCTCCTCGCTTCTCACTCGGATGGCGTCTCCCGAGGTCTCCGGCCGGTGCCCGTTATTAAAACGGACCCTCTTGAGGCGCCTCCAGCTGCCGCGCCGGGCGACCTGGCGAGGAGAAGGACCACAAGAGAGGGACCAGAGGCATTTGCTCTGGTTGCCAGCGGCTCTGTGCTCACAGCAGAAAATCCCGAAACCAGTACCTTTCTGCTGACGGGGCAGGTCGTTGGTCGGGAGTGTGTTCTGCATGTTTAGGTTGGACGGGGAGACAGAGGTTGATTGAGTACCCCGTTTTGTTTGTTTTTTTTAATCTTCACCCAGCCTAACGCATCTTGTTCTCAAGGTGGGTGGCATGGCCCCTGTGTCCACAGAGAGGAAAGGTCAGAGGCCCAGAATGCCAACCTGCTGTTTCCTTCTGCCAGGCCAAGCGCGCCGTGCAGCGGGGAGCCACCGCCGTCATCTTCGATGTGTCTGAAAACCCCGAGGCTATCGACCAGGTAACTCCTCGGACCCTGCCCTCTGCCGGCACGCCCCCTCCCCAGAGAAGCACCGCCTTTGGGTAGCCTGGCTTGTCAGTCATGTCGCCGCCTCATCTCGGGGCCTTGGCGTTGTCTGCTGATGTTAGCTGTTTGTGCGTGGACATTACACTCAAGGCAAGACTATGGAGAGGGGTTAAGAGCCAGGAGAGTTGGGACACAGGGGGCATTTCCCAAGATCCTCTGGGCCTTCGGTCTGCCCGGTCCAGCCTAGAGCAAGCCTCAGCCTCAGCCTCAGTCTTGCCATCTGGGAGTTCCAAGGCAGTGGTGCTTGAGGAGTTGGGTGATTTCCAAACTGGTGTTTTGTGTTCTTTTCCTCCAGCCTTCTCCTCCCTCCCTCCCCCTCCCTCTCTCTCTCTCTCTCTCTCTCTCTCTCTCTCTCTCTCTCTCTCTCTCTCTCCCCTGCTTCTTACAGTAAGCAGGTCTTCTAACCGGGAGCATCTCTTCTTCCTTAGCTAAACCAGGGCCAGGAAGACCCGCTCAAGAGGCCAGTGGTGTACGTGAAGGGCGCGGACGCCATCAAGCTGATGAACATCGTCAACAAGCAGAAAGTGGCTCGCGCGCGGATCCAGCACCGGCCCCCTCGAGTGAGCCTCCCCCCGGCCTCCACGCCGGCCCCGGCTCTGCTGCCGCCTGAGCCCTCATCCCCGTTAGGCTCTCACTCCTGTCTTCTTTCCGGTCAAACGCTGATGCACCCCGGGTTCCTGCAGAGCAGTGGTTGGCAAACTGCGGCTCTGTGGACTAACGAGTTTGCCGACCACTGCTGTAGAGTGCCGGCTGCATGCTCCTGTAGAGGGGATTGGGAAAGCCCTACCAGAAATAGCCGAATCGTGCCAGGATCTGGCTGGCTGGTCACTCTCACCCAGCGTTCCCTCTTGGGAAATTCCTCTCTCTCTTCTGGCCCGTCTCCCTCTGAGAGGCTGGCTGAGAAGGACTGAGGGGAGGGGTACTCAGCCCTGAGCTTACCATGCCTCCTTCTCCCGTTGGGTCAGTAGCATTATTAAAAGCCCCCGATCCTGATTCTGGAAAGTTCGCTATCAACTGGGATTGAAGTTACTGGCTTGTAGGTGGCTGATGAATAATATTTAAGACTTCCCCTAAAAGGGTGTTGACACTGCTGACCATTAGCTCTTGTCTGGCATCTTCTGCCTAAACTTCTGAAGAGTCTAAGGACCTGAAACAGGTGCCCCATATCTGGTGTATTTCCTTCTCGCAAATATTGGGATACTCAACCTTAGGATGGCTCTTTCCCATGCCCATCATATCTGGACACCTGCAGCATTCAATTAGCAAAACTCTAATTCCTAGTGACTAAAGGCATGTCCTAGATAAGGTGACTGCAAGGTCTTAGGAGGCAGTGAGACGTGAGGAAAAGGTAAGAACTAAAGCCAGAGGGAGTTTGCAGAAGAGCTGACATGCTGGCTTCTTTTTTAAAGGAAAAAAAAAAAAAAAAGAGCACTTTGGTAAATATGACTCATTGTAGTGGAAGCTGATATTTGTGGAAGCAGCGTACAATTTTCTGAGTTGTTGTAAACCATTAATTACATGGTTAGTAATCACTGTTCCCTCAAAACATGACACTCATTCCTTTGTCCCCAAAATGTGATATTTGTGTTTATCTGGAAGGGCCTCTCCTATCGGTTAGAGCGAACTTTGCACCGTTCCCCTGGGAGCGAGGCTCTGTGAACTGTTAGGAGACCTGGCTGAGGCCGCCCCCTGGCGACCCTGGAGGGTACTGCCGGGCCTGAATAGCACCCGACGAGCCTGTTAGCAGAAGCCCAGGTGTTCCCTGCAAGTGGGGGGGGTAGAAGGGGGGGTGCGCCCCAGTTGCCCCATCCTCATTACGACTAGAGCCAGCACAGCCCGTGCGCCGAACCTCAGGCCGAAGAGCGCGGTGACTCACTGTGTCTGTTCTGTTCCAGCAACCCACGGAGTACTTCGACATGGGCATTTTCCTGGCTTTCTTTGTCGTGGTCTCCCTGGTCTGCCTCATCCTTCTGGTCAAGATCAAGCTGAAGCAGCGCCGCAGTCAGGTAACGCCTCAAGCAGCCCGCGCCCGCGGTGCCCGCCGCCCTGCCCGCTCCCAGGGGCCCAGAACTAGCGCAGGCAGAAAAGCTGGCGCCAGGCTCACAGCGCTGAGTCTTCTCTGTTCTAGAAGGCCCGGTCCTGCGGAGGCCGAGCCTTAGGGGTGTTGCCAGCCCGGGCGTTTTCCCAAAGAAACGTTTAAATGTTCTTGTGGAGCCAAAACTGGTTTGACTCGGTGGATAGAGCGTAGGTCTGCAGACTGAAGGGTCCCGGGTTCGATTCCGATCAAGGGCATGTACATTGGTTGCGATAGGGGGTGTGCAGGAGGCAGCTGATAGATATTTCTCTCTCAGCGATGTTTCTGACTCTGTCCCTCTCTCTTCCTCTCTGTAAAAAAAAAAAATCAATAGAATATATATTAAAAACTTTAATAAATGTTCAAATGATCATCTGGGCATCAGCAGCAGCAGTATCACCCGGGAGCTTGGTAGAAATGCAGGGCCCCAGGCCCCGCCTGCCGAATCTAAGTCGCATCTACCTCGCTTCCCAGGTCATTCTCGATAAACAGAGTTGGCGCTCCAGTGCCCCAGCTGGCACAGGCTGTGTAGGAAGGGTTTGGGGGTGGAAGGTGATGAGGGGCTAAGCGGGAATCTTGGCTCTCACGTGGGTAGCAGCGTGCTGTCTTGGGGACGATGGGGGGCCTCAGTAGAACAGCGGCCGGTGTTGGCCGAGCACCTCTGATTTGCCAGGTGCTGAGCCCTCACGCATACTCTCATTTGCCCCAGAGCTTCCTTCAGGGTAATCGGAGGAATCCTGGCACAGAGCTGGCCAAGTCCTCAAAGTAGATCTCTGCGGGTCCTTCCGCGGGGAGAAGCCTGGCCGCTGTCAGGGACACTCGGGAGGCTGGCACATCTGGGCAGCGGCCACCTGAATCTTCAGTGACTTCCCCAAAGTCTGCCCTGGCCTGAGAGAGACCGGCACTTCCCCATCCTGGCTTATCGCGCGCCGAGGCCCGGGGGTGACTCCCACCGTCCCCACGTGCCAGACCCTAACGCGGGCCGCCCTCTGCCACGCAGAACTCCATGAACAGGCTGGCCGTGCAGGCGCTGGAGAAGATGGAGACCAGGAAGTTCAACTCCAAGAGCAAGGGGCGCCGGGAGGGCAGCTGCGGAGCCCTGGACACGCTCAGCAGCAGCTCCACGTCCGACTGCGCCATCTGCCTGGAGAAGTACATCGACGGAGAGGTAACAGCAGAGCTGGGCCCAAGGGGATGGGGAAAGGTCAGCAGAGGAGCGCAGGACAGGGTCCCGTGCCCCTTCCCACAGCTTTGCAGGAGCAGAAGGGCTTCGAGGTCTAGGTCTCAAGGGGACGATGGCCTGACGTCTCTAACTGCTGTTTGCGCCTGGAAGGGGGTGGCCACGGACAGGGACACTCTCTCCGGAGAATCCCACTGAGTGGAGGTGATTGGGAAGTTGGTCAGAAGCACGTGGGCGGCCAGCCCTGGCCGGTGTGGCTCCGTTGGTTGCAGCATCACCCCGTGCAGCGGAAGACGCGATGCATCTTTTTCCCATCGATGTTTCTCTCTCGCTCCTTCTCCCTCCCTCTTCCTCTAAAATCGTTCTTTTGTTCTAAAGAAATACATGGGAGGCCAAGGAAATGTCTGGTTTTAAGAACATTCTCACATGTTGACATTTAAAGTTGCTCTTCGGAAAATTCAGAGGCCTAACCTCATGCAGGTCTCCCCTACAAAGCTGTGTGGAACCTTTGGCGTTTTTTTTACTTCGAGAGACAAGGGGTACGATGCCCCCTTTCCCCTCCTAGCTCTTCATCCTGAACGTCTCAGACCTTCAGGAAAGCTACCCGAATCCCGCAGTGCGTCCCGTGCTGTTCCCCGGCCCCCTCCCCGCCCCCGCCCTCAGGCCGTGCGTCTCCTCCCCTCCCCAGGAGCTGCGGGTCATCCCCTGCACGCACCGCTTTCACCGGAAGTGCGTGGACCCCTGGCTGCTGCAGCACCACACCTGCCCCCACTGTCGGCACAACATCATAGGTAAGTGGCGTCACTGCCTAGCAAGAGTGTGGTGCACGCTGCAGGCCGGTGAGCGAGCTAGACCACCACCGACCGCATGGTCACCAGGCCCCCACACGCTTAGAGCCTGGCACGAGAAACCGCCCAGAGTTTTGAGTTTCAGTTTTCACACGAACCCGCGTCCTGGCCTGTCCAGGCCTCAGGCCCGCAATCTCTTTTTAAAGGGAATGACTGGCCGAAACCGGTGTGACTCAGCGGATAGAGCGTCGGCCTGTGGACTGAAGGGTCCCAGGTTCGATTCCTGTCAAGGGCATGTACCTTGGTGGCGGGCACATCCCCAGTGGGGGGTGTGCAGGAGGCAGCTGATCGATGTTTCTCTCTCATCGATGTTTCTAACTGTCTCTCCCTCTCTCCCTTCCTCTCTGTTAAAAAAAAAAAATCAATAAAATATATTTGAAAAATAAAAACAAAGGGAATGACAGCAGCGGTGCCTGCCAGTGCCCGGTACTGCGGAGCCTTCCCGGGCCTCAGGGATGGTGGCTGGGAGAGGCAGGGTGGCGAGGCCGCTGCTGTCCCTGCGGTTCTGGCCCGCGGGTCTGGACTCCAGGTGGCTGTTTGGCCCTGAGGGACGGTGCCCGTCATCTCGGCAGCCCCATTGCTCTCTGCAAGCTCCTGGTGCCTTCGTTGGGCGGAGCCGCGGGGAGGCGGGAGGTGGCCGCCTCTCAGAGAAGCGGGTCATCCATTCCCTGCCGGCGAGGGCGAGGGCGAGGGCGAGGCCGAGGCCAGGCCCGGGGACAGCTTGGAGCAGAGCAGGGTCGTGAAAAGAGCACCAAGGTGCATGACCAGCGCTGCTGCTCCGGCCTTCCGCCCTGATCCGTGTGCCCCTCCCTCTAGCCCTGCTGACTCGGTTTCCCCCTCCCCTCCCCAGAGCAAAAGGGAAACCCGAGCGCCGTGTGCGTGGAGACGGGCAGCCTCGCCCGCAGCCGGCAGCAGCGGGTGATCCTGCCGGTGCACTACCCCGGCCGCGTGCACAGGACCAACGCCATCCCGGCCTACCCCACGAGGACGAGCATGGACTCGCACGGGAACCCCGTCACCCTGCTGACCGTGGACCGGCGCGGCGAGCAGGGCCTCTACCCGCCCCAGGCGCCCGCCTACATCCGCGGCTACCCGCCCCTCCCCCAGGACCATCCGCTGGCCCCGCACCGCTGCGGCCTGGAGCTCCGCGCCTACTCCCCGGCCCACCCCTTCCGCCGGCCCAAGTTCAGCGGCCGCAGCTTCTCCAAGGCAGCTTGCTTCTCCCAGTACGAGACCATGTATCAGCACTGCTACTTCCAGGGCCTCAGCTACCCCGAGCAGCAGGAGGGCCCGGCCCCGCCCGGCCTGGTCCCCCGGGGCCCGGCCCGTGCCTTCGCCCCGGGCGGCGGCGGCGGCGGCGGCGGCCTGCGCTTCCCCCCGGTGGTGCACATGGCGCCGGCCGCCCACCTGGACAGCGGGAGCGCGTCCAGCTTCAGCTGCTGCCGCGGCCACCGCTCCGTGTGCAGCGGCTACCTGGCCGACTGCCCGGGCAGCGACAGCAGCAGCAGCAGCAGCAGCAGCTCCTCCGGCCAGTGCCACTGCTCCTCCAGCGACTCGGTGGTGGACTGCACCGAGGTCAGCAACCAGGGCGTGTACGGGAGCTGCTCCACCTTCCGCAGCTCGCTCAGCAGCGACTACGACCCCTTCATCTACCGCAGCCGGAGCCCCTGCCGCGCCGGCGAGCTGGGGGGCGCGGGCGGCTCGGGCCGGGGGCCCTTCGTGCACCTCGAGGGCTCCCCGCCGCCCGAGGAGCTCCCGGCGGCGGCGGCGGCGGCCCACGGTCACGGTCACGGTCACGGTCACGGCGCCGGGCGGGGGGAGCCCTGGCCCGGCCCCGCCTCTCCCTCCGGGGACCAGCTGTCCACCTGCAGCCTGGACATGAACTACAGCAGCAGCTCCTCCCTGGAGCACAGGGGGCCCAACAGCTCTACCTCAGACGTGGGGCTCGAGGCCTCTGGGGCCGCCCCGGACCCCAGGAGGACCTGGACGGGGAGCCGCGAGGGGCCGCCGTGCGCCTGCTGCTGCGAGCCCCAGCCCTCGGCGCCCGAGCCCGGCGGGGGAGCGGCCGCGGGCAGCACCTTGCTCCTGGGCGCCCCCCCCTGGGAGGGCCGTGGCCCCGCAGGCCTCCGCCCGGACCGCCTGCCCAGGACAGACGGGGTGACCGCGGAGGGCCTGCCCTGCTGCTTCTATGAAGAGAAGCAGGTGGCCCGCGGCGGCGGCGGCGGCGGCGGCGGCGGCTGCTACCCCGAGGACTGCTCGGTGAGCGTGCAGTACGCGCTCGCCCAGGAGCCCCCGCCCAGCTGCCCCCCGGGGGCCCGGGACCTGAGCCAGCGCATCCCCATCATTCCAGAGGATGTGGACTGTGACCTGGGCCCGCCCTCGGACTGCACAGGGACCCGCGGCCTCAGCCCCTGGGGCGGGACGCCGGGCCCCAGCCCCCCGCCGCCCCACCGGAGCCCGGGGGCGGCCCGGGCCCCGCCGCCCCCCGTCCGCCCCCCGGAGGAGGCGGGGGCCGCCAGGGCCGGCTTCCCCAGCGCCTCCCCGGACACTCAGGAGCCCAGCGCCACGGCCGCTGAGGCTGCAGGTGAGAGCAGGCGACGGGCGGGCGGCCGGAGTCGGGTCCTCTCCTCTCCTCTCCTCTCCTCTCTCCGCGGTCATCTTCTAAGGGGCCCTATCTGTGCCTGATAACTTCCGGTTACCCCCCAGCTCGGCCTTCCCCGAGTGCCGGGCCCACTGGGCCCTTTGCCCCCAGGATTCCTCCCCCTAGCTGCCACGCAAGCACCCCAACCTCCCAGGTTCCCCACCCAAAACCCCAGCACCATCTAACCCTGAGCCCGCCCTGCCCCTCACCCTTGTGTCCTGGGCTTCTCAACCCAGGAGAATTGTCCAGACAATTGAATTCCCAGAAGAATGAAGCGTAGCGAAAGACATGTCGAATCCAAGTCCAGAATTCGTATTAGATTCAGCCGACCTCACCAGATTGCTATAGAGTTCCCAGACGTTCGGTCTGGGTAATAAACAGAACAGGCCAGCACCTTAGGGGGTCTCCTCTCACGGTCTTGCCTTCTATTCCACCTGGGAGCCGAATTGGCCTTTGGGAGGGTTTTCTTCTTTTTTATAGATGTATTTTTATTTTTTTTGAGAGAGAGAGAAAACCATCAGTCTGTTGTTCCACTTGCTTATGCATTCGTTGGTTGATTCTTGTGTGTAACCTTGGCGAGTTGGAGTGGAACTAAACCAGTTAAGCTGCCTGCCAGGGCCAGAGTGGTCCTTTTGAACATACGTCTGTGTATTGGCACTAGAAAGCCCTTTCGTGGCTTGCATGACCTTCAGAGTTTTGAAAATGTAGCTCCCCTGTGGCCTCCATCCTGTTCCCCCAACATTCCTCCGGCTCCTTCTAGCCTCTGGGCCCCTCTGCTGCCTCTGCCTCAGATCTGAGCCTAAACGCCTCCCTCCAGGGACCTCTGAGCGCTCCCACTCCGGTTCCTCTCCGGGTCATCACGGCCTCACATCGCTTTGTGTTGACGGGGCTTAAGGGGTGTATTTGCAACAGTGCCTTATGCACATCTCCTCAACATTGCGTTTTCATGCTGCCTAAGGGCTTCCAGAAGGTTCCGTAGGTCCAGGTGAGGGAGGCTGGCTCCCTAGGAGACACCCGTGCTCGGCACAGCATGAGCAGCTCTGCTTAAGTAAGCCTCTTACCGTACGCAGGGCCCGTCCAGTGCCGTGAGCTGTCGCTTCTGAGAGCTCCGGCGAGCTGGGGGTGGGCACCCAAGTCCCCGCAGCCCCCGTGCATTGTGCCCGAGGCCCGCGGTGCCAGCTCCTCCCTGACGCTCTGCTCTCTCCCCCAGGACAGAGATCTCGGCCCGCAGACAGCGGCAGCACAGGCGCCTGAGCCCGGGAGGCCCTCTGTGGACGTGGGAACTGTACGGAGACTCCAAACTCTTGACTTCTTCAGAAAAAAAAAGAAAAATTATTATTATTATTTTTTTTTTTTTAGCTCTGACAAACACACAAAAGTGGTAATAAAGAGAGCCCGCCTTCTCAACCCAAAATGTGAGCCCCCTGTGGCAAGCTTCCCCCCCACCCCCCTCCCATTAACAAACCAACAGACGAAATTCTCCGAGTCTTTGCCTCTTTTGATAACATGTTACTCTGTTTTGTAAAGTGTGTGTGCTTGGGGTTCCGAGGTGTGTGGGATTGAGTTCTCGGCTTTTGTTTTTTTGTTGTTGTTGTTTTTTTTTCCTTTTTTTTTTTTTTTTAAAGATATTTTATGTAAATGTACAAAGTTATTTAAATATATATATTTTAAAGAACCCTAACCGCCAACTTTTGCTGAAAAAAAAAAGAAAAAGAAATCACTGCTGCGTTAATGGAACCACATCATGTGTAGATACTGTTGTCTCCTGGAGGGAGCTCAGGCCTTTGAAAAAGCTCAGGGCTACGCCTGCCTTAGAAAATGAACCAGAAACTTGAAGTAAAGCTCGTCGATATGGGTACAAACTCTGAGGAACGATGCAATGCCGCCTCTTTCTCATGGCAGATCCCAGTGGGTATAGATCGCCAGGTCTCTGAAGCCATAGTCCTCCCGCCCGGGCCCCCCCCACCCCTCCCCGGCAGCCGCTGGGAGCCGCTGGGAAAGAACGGGCCAGAAGGCCGGCAGCCCGGGGAGCGGCCGGGCCGTGGCTGCGGAGCCCCGGGTGCGACAGGGATGACTCTGCCCAGTGTCCTCAGTCCGTCCCCTGGAGTCTGCCCGAGGTTCACGGCCATGATCTCGGGCTTCCTGCTGCTTCTGCAGACACGGATCGGCGGGCGTGCGGGGGACCAGCCCCCAGGAGGAGCGTAGTTTGCGGCTTTGGTGTCTGGAGGGGCTGGGGACCGAGGAGGTGACGGAGCTGCCTTCCTGGGGGACCCCATGGGGGCTCCCCTAAGCTCTGAACGGCAGGGTTCCCATCCCATTTGCCCACCGGAAGTGCCGCTTCGGGGTTCTCCGGCCCTCGGCTCATCTCGCCTGCCAATGTCTACTCTCCTTCCTGCCTAATGCACTATGACCTATCGGTTCTCCGTGAGACAGAGAGAGAGAGAGAGAGAGACTATCAGATAGTTTAGACCCAAAGGGTAGGTCTTTGTATATTTTTCCAGCCTTTAGTAGTTGTTGTTGTTTTTTTTTTTTTAAAAAAAAAAAAAAAAGGAGGAGGGAGGGAGAGCTTGAAAACCCAACCCGTTTTTGAAAAGATTGTTTCCATTATAAAGGGGAGAATCTGTTGAAAGCTGTTTCAGATCAGGGATTGATTGTCATCCTTTTTGTCCGATGTGTTTCTTATTCTTTTAAAACAAAACAAAACTATTTTTAGAAGAAACGAATCCCATTAGCCCCGTGTTCACTGACTCTTCAGGTCACTCGGCTGCTCGCTTATCCAGCCGATAGTGAAAGAGACACCCCGGGAGCTGGCCCCCGCAGGTGGGGACATTGAGGCCATCCTGGTTGCCAGGAGACTGTGATGACTCCTCTCCTGGGAGGCTCTGGGTTCGGCAGCCCCGGGGGCCAGACCAGGACATTCTGAACGAGCATCTCACCCTAGCAGAATCCCTTTTTCTTAACATCCTCAGCCTGTGATGAGGGAACGTGCTCAACTCCAAGCCAGGCTTCAACAGAAGGCCATGCCAACGTCCAATGATCCAGCCATTTGCCATTTAGGAACTCACCCCCTCCCTCCCATTTGCCATTTGGTGAGATTTGTCCTCCAGCCTCTAAGGTGTAGGCCCTCGGGGTGGGATTGGAGGGGGCGGGGGTTGCTCCCCGCAGGCCTGTGCCCAGCGCACCTGTTGGCAAGGGTGTGAGAAGCATCAGAGCTGTTGACATGTGATCTGGGCTGCCTTTACTTCCTGGGCCAGGCCCAGCAGCTGCGGAGGACAACAGCTTGTGATTTGGGGGAGGAGAGGGGGGGATGGTGTGAGGGGGTGACTTTGAACATGAACTGCAAAGCGTAGCTCCTCGTTGTGGAGATTTTGTTGTTGTTGTTTGTGGTCTTATTTGTGTTTAATGCCTCTGAGTGTGTATGATCTTCCTTTTTCTGAAATCATACCCCCAGAGTGGCTGAAGCCCCAGCTGGGGGGAAAGAAGAAAAAAACAAAACCACTCCTCCAGAGCCTTAAGCAATGAATAGACAGTCAAGAATGTAGTTCCAATGGGGCTTATTCAAACAAACGCGTCCAATTGTTCGCCCGAAAGAACAATAACCATCGCTGGCATATAAAGAGGCACGTTCGATGTTGGTAGTCTGCAGGGCGGTAGAGACAGGGGGGAAAATGAAATTTTGAAGCTTTCAGCATCAGCCCCTGCTTTAAATCTGTGTGCGCCCGTCGGACGGGCAGGGCCCCAGAAAATGGAGGAACCAACTAGAATAGTGTTGCCTCACCGTTGCAATCAAAACGTCTTCCGTGAAGCTGTAAGACTCCGCTACTGATAAAGGGCCGCTTTCAGTGATCGCTCGGTGGTGTGTAGGGCTGACGGGGCTGTGGAAACTGTGGGGGAAGGGGGGCATCACATTTTCCACTGAGCACATCTGCCCTCACCCCCCCACCCCTGCCAGGGTGTGGCCTTGGGATGTGGTTCCATGGCCCAGCCCTTGTGTGACAGCGGATGTAGACGGAAGAGGGCTAGAGCCAGTTCAAATGGTGGGGGGTGGAGGGAGTGTTGGGATTTCTGATCAGCAAGGTACCTTTTTCTAGACACAGCCCCATACGCAGGTTCAGCTCAGTCTCTTCCCCTTTGCCTTCGAACCCAAGCCGTTTGTTCAAGCCCCACCTGCTGTCCCACTGCTCAGACCCTCGTTTTTGTGCTGCTAGTTTCTACTCAAAAAAGTTCCTGCAGGACTGATGCTTTTAAGATGAGATCTAAAAAAAAAATAATGACTAATCAAGAGTATTATTTTTTAAACAGAACTGCCTTTTTCTATTCTTTATATAAACTCTATTGTGTTGGGTCTAACAAGGCACTATTTTAAAATGTGTGTTGTGTGTTGTTGTTTTTTTAATTTCTCCCATAGCACTTAAAAGATATTTTGTAAAGACTTTGCTGTAAAGATTTTTGTAATAAAACGGTCTAAAGGGCTCCGTCTCCAACATTACCATTTTTTTAAAAAATGTTTTAAAAGGCTAGAAAACAACTTGTGTATATTCTGTATATGTATAGCAGCACATTTCATTTATGGAAATATGTTCTCAGAATATTTATTTACTAATATATTTATCTTAAGCCATGTCTTATGTTGAGCGTGTGACATTGTTGGAATAATCATTGAAAATGACTAACATGAGGCCCTGTAAATACATGATAATTGCACACAGATTTTACATATTTGCCGACCAAAAAGTGATTTAAAACGAGTTGTAGTCTTCTATGGTTTTGTAACAAATTGTACAAATGACTGTAAAAAAAAAAAAAATACAATTTTATCAAGTACACGTTCTATGTTGTCATCGCTCTGTTGGGTAAAGGTCTACACATTCCACAAAGAAGTTTGCATGAAGCAGTGTCTTTTTAGTTGTTTTTATATGTTTGTTGTTGTTGTTGTTGTTGTTTTGGTTAATCTTCACCTGAGGGTAATTTTAGGGAGAGTGGAAGAGAGAGGGAAAGAGAGAAACATCGATGTGACTCACATGGGTCGGTCACTTCTTACACGAGCCCTCAACCAGGGCCAGGAAAGAGTCTGGTACATGCCCTTGACCAGAATCGAACCCAGGACCCTTTTGGCCCGCAGGCCGATGCTCTATCCACGGAGCCGAGGGGCCAGGGCCGAAGCAGCGCCTTGAACGTCAGCTCGAGGGTGGGAGCACCGTGGCACTTCCTCTGCGGTTAACGTGGAGTTCGGGTGATTGGGGATTTCGGTGGCATCAGGGGACCGTCTCCTTGAGGTGATGGTCCTTTCTCTGCTCTTCCCTGTGTGGGGGGCGGGTGGGAGGGACATGACGGTCCATCCTAGCAGTCCTCTCTAAAAACTGGGGACATGCCCTAGCTGGTATGGCTCGGTGGATAGAGCGTCGGCCTGCGGACTGAAAGGTCCCAGGTTCGATTCTGGTCAAGGGCATGTACCTTGGTTGCGGGCACATCCCCGGTAGGGGGTATAGAGGAGGCAGCTGATGGATGTTTCTCTCACATTGATGTTCCTAACTCTCTATCCCTCTCCCTTTCTTCCTGTAAAAAAAAAAAAAAAAATCAATAAGATATTTAAAAAAAAAAAAAAGTTGGGGACCTTGGCTGGATATAGACCATCGGCTTTATCTGCCGGGGTCTTTCCCACCGGGAAGACAGAGACCCGCAAACCCCAAGGGAAAGGGGCTTGTAGGGGAAAAGCCTCAAATTGACCTGCTCATGAGATTGGAGGGGGGACCTCCGTCTGACATGAATCTGTACCCCTCTGCCACGTGCCCCGGGGAGGGTGGTTACGAATCTGGGGCGCGCTCGGAGGGGTCCCGGGAAAGGTGCAAAGCCGTGTTTATTGTTTAGACATCCAGCAGAGATCCTCCGGAGCTCCTGTTCCTATTTCTCCCTCCTGACCTTGGGCCACGTCTCGGGCACAGGCTCCCCGTCGACCGCCAGCCACGTCCTGGCCGGCAAGGGGTCCTGAGCCCCGTGGGGGGCGGCGGCCTGGCTGCACAGCGCCTCCCAGAGCTTCTGTTTGACGGCCCTGCCCAGCTCCAGGCTGTACCGCTTGGGGGTCCCCGAAGGGTTCCACAGCATCGGCTCCACCGCGGCGTGGTACAGAGCCCGGTACGCCTCGGCGGGGAGGCCGTGGATGGTGAGCACGTCTGACCGCTGCGGTCTGGTCCCGGCTCCGGGCGGCGGCGCCCGGCCCTGGCAGGCCGCGGGCCCCACGTCCCTGGCCGGCGCTTGGGGGGCGGCCACATGTTCGGCGTATCTGCTCTCGGGATCTTGGCGGGCGGTTCCCCTTCTCTCCTTTGAACTTGCTTCACTCTGGCCAGGAGGAAAGCGGAGAAGTCAGAGCTAAAACTTGAGAAGGGAGCTCGGAATCATCAGCTGGGATTCGCGTCCTGGAGTCTTGGTTACAGCCACAGCCAACATTCATCGAGTGAGTGTGTGTGTGAGTGTGTGTGTGTGTGTGTGTGTGTGTGTGGTGTGTGTGTGCTCCTTCGTGTCTACCCCTGGTCGGCGACCTGGGCTCGCGAGCCACAGGCCCCTGCAGTGTGGCTGTTCCACAAAACACCACGGCCTGGGCGAGCCTATTGCTGAAGGAGTGGCATTAGGAGAAGTTTAAGTTTAAACAGTGTGGCTCTCCAAAGACATGTCCATCGTTGTCCTGTTGATATTTGGCCGACCCTGGAAGGTCGGCAGGAGACAGCTTCACAGGCCAAGGCCGAGGCCACCCAGCTAGAAAGTTAATAATGACAGGTGTTGTCTATGGAATGCCACACGGGACCCGAGGCTTTCAGTCTGTGCCAGGCTCTGCTCCAAAGCCCTCTGCTCGTATGGACTCATTGAATCCTCACGGAACCCTGTGAGAAAAGGGCTATCCCTCCCCCCCCTCCCCATTTGATAGACAACAAAAACCAAGGCAGAAAGAGGCCAAGCCCGCGCCGTCGTCCTGAATTACAGTCGAAGCCGGGACTTGAACCCGACAGCCGGGCTCCAGGGGGCACTCTGAGCTTCGCTGGCCGCTGGGGGAGAGGGCGCTGGACTCGGGTCAGGCCCCGAGATGCCAGGTCCTCCACGCCAGGCCTTGCTCGCCTCCGCATGACCGGCCTCTCCCATTATTTTCCCTTCCCGTCCAGCACCTCCCACCTGTGTTTGTAGGAGCGGCTTCACCCCCCCATGGAGAGTCAATCCTAGCAGGCAGGGAGGAGGCAGGGGGGGAGACATCATGCCCCGGAGCTGGTGCTCTCTCCATGATACCTCCCTGCTGCTGCCCACCCACCCTCTGCCCTCACCCCCTCAACCTGGTCTTCCACTTTAGGATTTCCTTTGCTTCATAAAAACTTTTTAAAAATATATATATAATTTTTTGTAATTGATTTCAGAGAGGAAGGAAGAGGGAGATAGGGAGAGTGAGAGAGAGAGAGAAACATCAATGATGAGAGAGAATCCTCCATCGGCTGCCTCCTGCACGCACCCCCCCCCTACATACACACACACACACACACACACACACACACACACACACTGGAGATGGAGCCTGAGACCCGCCATGTGTCCTGACGGAGAATCACACTGTGACCTCCCTGGTTCACAGGTCGACGCTCAACCACTGAGCTACCCCAGCCCGGCTCATAGAAACCTCTTAAGCATTACGTGCTTTCTAGCTGACCCTGTCCCCCACCCCATCACATTCTGTCCGCCACCAGCCGCCACCTACCTGGTCGGTGCCCCCTGCAGGCCTCCGGCGCCTGGGGGAGGCCGGCTGCCGGCCCCGGACCGGCTTGCTCTTCGGACCGATGGCGTGTCTCCTCCTGCCCCGCCGCCGAGTGGCCGAATGGTCCTCGGGCTCCGCTCCCTTCGAGGGCTTTGCTTCTCCAAACGGGCAGGGTCCCGGGCAGCACGTGTCCTTCAGCCGTCGCCGGAGCACCAGCTTCAGCAGGGACAGCGAGCTGGGGACGATGGGGCTCTCCACCACCTCCCAGGAGGAGGCGGTCCCCGGGGCGGGGCCGCATGCCCGGGCCGTCCAGATGCTGGCGAGGGCCGGGGAGTCCACATAGCAGTCCTGCAGCCTGCTGTTCAGGGAGATGGACCGCCGCAGCCCGTAGCTGGGGATGCTGGGCTCCCGCCTCACACAGACGGGGTGCTGCAGTCAGGAGGAGGGGGAGAGGGGACAAAAAGAAAAAAGACCCAATTCTCAAGCGGAGACCAGAAGGTGTACTTGGCAGGCAAAGTATTCACGTTTCCTTTGAGGAGACGGTTTCTTTCTCCCTCGCCTGTCTTAGAGATCGTTCTGCACCTCCTCTCTCCGTCCCCCCAGAGCCTGTTGTACCAGGGTCACGGGGACAGCCCGCCTCACAAAGGACACAGCACGGCCGAGGCCGGTGTGGCTCAGTGGATAGAGCGTCGGCCTGCGGACGGAAAGGTCCCGGGTTCGATTCCGGTCAAGGGCATGTACCTTGGTTGCGGGTACATCCCTGGGGGGAGGGGGGAATGCAGGAGGCAGCTGATCGATGTTTCTCTCACATCGATGTTTCTAACTCTCTATCCCTCTCTCTTCCTCTCTGTAAAAAAAAAAATAATAATAATAAAATATATTTTAAAAGAAAGAAAGAATGCAGCACGCTTGGGCCGGAAGTGGAGGGGCGGGGAGCTTTAGAAGGAACCAAAGTCAGTGCCCTAGCTCAGGGAAAGCTACGGGGAGCCGGGGCAGGAAAGGGACAGGAGACAGGATGCCTGTAGGACCTGTCATAACTCCTACACAGGGCCATGTCCTGCCAAACCCCAAGCATTTTCTGACCAGATGGCCAGGAGCCAAGGAAATCTGGGAGCCAGGGACACACACTCTGGGGTCCATAAAGGGCAAAGCCACCATGGAGATTATGCCTCTCTTTCCTGGGACCAGCCAAGAACAAGGGAACCATCTCCTCATTGAGAGAAACCTGGCTTTCTAGGGCCATCTAATTAAAAAAAAAAAAAATTTAAATCACCTTACCATATTTCGGTTGCCTTAAATTTTATTTTAGCAAGCTTAGTAGGGGGAAGAAATACGTATTTCCTTTTCTCTCTCTCTCTCTCACTCTCTCTCTTTATTTTTCTTTTGTTTGGATCTATCAAATCACCTATCCCTCTGCCTCAGTCACATATGGGCCAATTGCAGTTTGCTTAGGTTGGTGGCAGTTTTGAGCCATTATCTCCAGTATTTGTGATGTCACTCTGTTTTGTGATGTGGGTGTGGGTGGTGGGGGTTGCATCACCCAATTTTATAGTGAGATTAAGTTGGAAGGCGTTCCATTTTATTGTCTCTCGGGCCTCAGGGACGTCTGCAGTCCCCATGTCACCCCCACACGCTCGGGAGACCTCGGAAGGCCTTCCCGTCCATAAAACGTGCACGCGTTGCATGCCAAGCCAAAACCGGTGTGGCTCAGTGGATAGTCATCGGCCTGTGGACTGCAAGGTCCCGGGTTCGATCCCGATCAAGGGCATGTACCTTGGTTGCGGGCACCTCCCCAGTAGGGGGTGTGCAGGAGGCAGCTGGTGGATGTTTCTCTCTCATCGATGTTTCTCTCTCTCCCTCTCTCTTCCTCTCTGTAAAAAAAATTAATAAAATATATATTTTTTAAAAAAACTGCGGAGCACAGGTGGCGAGGTGCATTCTTCCACGGGCACCAGCGCCCTCCTCCCTCGGGCACATAAAGGAGGCACTGTTGGAGCCTCGGCGCCCGCTGCCAAGGCTCGGGGACCAGAAGCGAGAGAACACGTTCCTGCAGCTCTGGGCACCTCTCCCTGCGTGTCTCTCCCCGGAGACGGCGCGGCCGCCTGGAATGCGGTTTTAGTTTACATCCCGTGGCAGATGCCGTAATGAGAGCTGCGAGCAGCGGCGTCGAGGGCTTGAAACGAGAACAAAGACACCTCTGCCCGGGATCGCTTGGGCAATGCCTCCTTATCAGGTGCCGGTCCTGTTGGTGGTTTGGATTTTTTTTTTTTTTATGATTTTTTTTTCTTGCACAAAAATGCCCAAGGAGGCTCCCTCCGCGCGGGGAGGAGGGCGGGCTGATGGAAAAACAGAGTGTGAGGCTGGCAGGCGCTCCTGGAATCGCATGTGTTACCCGTTTGATTTTTTTGAGTTTTTGATTTCCCCCCCACACACACACACACAGGTTGTCCCTGGAGGGAATCAGAGTCTGAAGGCAGACCGCACCGCAGGCCGAGGTGGAACCGCCTCCAGGTGGACACACAGCCGCTCACCCGCCCGCCCGCCCGGGGAGGACAATGGGGCCCATTCAGCCCGAGCCCTGGCCTCACCTCCTTGAGGTGGGTCAGTGCAGAGTGGGGTGTCGGAAAGGGCTTGTCTTCGGGAAGGGTTTGCGAATGTCTGGAGGCCTGGAGGCCGGGCAGGCCAGTATCCGGGCCCCGAGAGGCGGCCCCAGGCTCTGGGCTACCGTCTCCCTCTGCGCTGGGGCCCGGAGGGAAAGTCTGAGCAAGAAAGACATCTTGGCTGGGACCGGTTTGGCTCAGTGGATAGAGCGTCGGCTTGGGGACTGAGGGGTCCCGGGTTCGATTCCGGTCAAGGGCATGTGCCTTGGTTGCGGGCACATCCCCAGTAGGGGGTGTACAAGGGGCAGCTGATCAATGACTCTCTCTATCCCTCTCCCTTCCTCTCTGTACAAAAATCAATAAAATATATTAAAAAAATATATTAAAAAAAAAAGAAGAAGAAAGACATCTTGGACAGTAGTTCTCTCTCTTCTCCCCAGCCTTCCCTGTCCTCTGTTGTACTTGCTCTCCTAGGTCTTGCACTCCGTCCGTCACCAGATCTGCTTCTGGCCACAGGGACAGCAGGCGGCTGGCATGCTTCAGACGCCAGCGAATCCTGCCTCCTCTCCTTTCCCCAAACTGAACCCCAACAAGACGCCCTGCCGCTCCTTGGAACCAGCCAGCGCCGTGTCTCCTGCGTCAGTAAGATCTGTATTTGGTGAAGGCCTACCGTAGGCCAAGCACCGTTTCAGACACTTTACAAGCGTCCTCCCAGGAAATGATGCCAACAGTCTTAGGAGTCTGGACACGGTTGCCATGCCTACCTGACAGGGGAAGAGACGTAGGCACACGCCGCTCAAGAGCCACGCCCTACAGCTGGGAACCAACAGAGGCTGGACGCAACCAAGGGTTACACCACCCCCCACCCCTGCTCTTCACCATCCACGGGCCGACCTGGGCCTGCCCACCCTGGTCAGGAGACGTCCTCTGGCCTCAGGACATGGTCTGTCTGAGTTGACACCCCAGATCCATCTCTGGTTGGGCAAGTGAATTCACATCTCTGAACCTTAGTTGCCTCATCTGTGAAATGGGGGAGTAATCGTGCCTACGCCAGAACCACGGGACTATGCGTGGGAAGCCCCTGGTGTGGCTCTGGGTGTATAATAAGAGCTCAGCAAGTAATGTTCTTAGTAACAGGATTAATATTGCGGCCCACTCCCCCATCTGAGCCCCTGACGGCCAGGGTCTGAGGGACATAACCCAATATTTGATTTTGGACTTCATCTCAGATTCTTCATGGGCATCCATGTGGAGTATGAGGCCAAGCAATGAGCTTCTTTTTTATTGATTTTTTTTATGATAGAGAGAAGCATCAATCAGCTGCCTCCTGCACACCTCCTACTGGGGATGTGCCCACAATCCAGGTACGTACGTGCCCTTGACCGGAATCCAACCTGGGACCTTTCAGTCATCAGGCCGACGCTCTATCCACTGAGCCAAACCGGTCAGGGCAGCAATGAGCTTCTTGAAGTGGAAGGATTCTTTCTGATGTGATCTGCATATCCCAACGTTTCTCTTCCTGGGACCCATCTCACAGAAGTGGGGCATTCACAGGAGGCACCGTTCTCCCTCGTAGTGGGAGTGATTCATGCTTCATTCGGCGGAAAGGGAGGCGGGAACCCGAGGGCACACTAAGGAAAGTGACGCGTCTGTAAGAGCGATTTCCATCGAAGGCTGTTCGGAATCACAAAGTCGAGATGGAAAGATTCTGGTTCAGGGCCCTGACACCAAGGCAAGAGTTTCCACGGTTGGTGCCAACACTTGATTCTCAGACCTGGGGCTGAGGCCTCGGGGCTCCCATGTTGCTCAAGGGCCTGCTCCTCAGTGTGATGCGCCATCGGAACCTTTTTTTTATTTTTTTAATATTTTATTGATTTTTTTTTTACAGAGAGGAAGAGAGAGGGATAGAGCGTTAGAAACATCCATGAGAGAGAATCATCCATCAGCTGCCTCCTGCACACCCCCCACTGAGGATGTGCCCGCAACCACGTAACATGCCCTTGACCGGAATCGAACCTGGGACCCTTCAGTCCACAGGCCGACGGCTCTATCCATTGAGCTACACCGGTGTCAGCCGGAACCTTTTTTATTCTGCTGAGCTCGGTCTTAAGTAACCTTTATTTTCCACCCATCCTGCGGAGCGGTGCCTCCTGACATCGCTAAACCACCGCTTCTCTTTGGAAGCACGTCTGCCCGCCTTTGATGCTCAGCCAAGCTCTCCTCGCTGTATTTTTAGCTCCTCTAAAGTTTCGTCTCTCTTTCTCCCTTTCCTACCACCTTCCTGCTCTCTCATTCCTCCTCGCTCTGCTTCTTTCGCCGGCGGACCCATCACTAAAGACCAAGTGGAGCCCGTGTATGTTAATTCTTGTCTTTTCCCTTCACGCCCAACTCCCCACACCCTAGCGGAATTTAGCTGCTCTCAGTCTTCTCAGAAGATGTTTTTCTTTGAACACCCAAGCAGTAAACTTCCACACCCGAAGGGGAACAGAGCTGAGGTTTGGGATGGAGAAGGGTTTGGGGGAAGAGGAGGAAAGCTTTGGATGGGAGAATTTGCAAAGATTCCTGAACCATGATGCAAACTCCGAGGACCGGTGGTGATTCAGACCACATGTGCTGAGTGTGCGCCCATCGTGGGCCAAGTGTATGAGAGGAGGGCACCCTGCCCACCCAGCTGCCCCTTCTCACCAGACCCTGCGTCCTCCAACACGGCCACCTGGGTGTCCCGCAGACACCTCTCACTCACTGTGTCCACACCAGATTCTCTCTCCCTTCACTCCCATCAGAATAGTATGATACACTACGACTTCTCTTGAATTTTCCATCACTGGTCACCTGGCCCGGAAACCTGGGAGGCAGGGGCAGTAACAGTTCTGCATGGAGCCAACCCTGAGCCTAAAGGAAAAAAACCGGAAATCTAGATCCTATTTTTATTTAAATAACTTAATATTTTAAAATATATATATTTTATTGATTTTTTACAGAGAGGAAGGGAGAGGGATAGAGAGTTAGAAACATCCATGAAAGAGAAACATTGATCAGCTGCCTCCTGCACGCCTCCTACTGGGGATGTGCCTACAACCAAGGTACATGCCCTTGACCGGAATCGAACTCGGGACCTTTCAGTCTGCAGGCCGACGCTCTATCCACTGAGCCAAACTGGTCCCAGCTGTTTAGTGATTTTTGAAAGAGAGAGAGAGAGAGAGAGAGAGAGAGAGAGAGGGAGAGAGAGAAACATTAATGTGAGAGAGAACCATCAATTGGTTGCCTCTCATGCATGTCCAGGCTGGGGATGGAACCCCCGACCTAGGTATGTGCCCTGACTGGGAATCAAACCCGCCACCTTTTGATGGATGGGATGACACTCCAACCAACGGAGCCACCCGACCAGAGCTCTCCCAGCTTCTTGGCAAACCCAGCTGCCCACGGAGGAATCCGAGGGTCCCGCTGCAGAACACAAGGGGCCAACCGGTCAGCAGCAGCAGCCTCCCGAAGGCCCGGGGGCTCCGGCCGGTGTCCTCACTCCGGCCATGAAATGAAGCCGCTCGCCGCCCCGGGCACGTGAAGGTTGAAACGAATATCCCAGGCCGCTCCTTGCCAGGGGCCGGGACGGCATCACGGAGCAGAAGACCTTGAGCCGCTAAGTGGCCTGGCCTGGACGGGCTGGGAGTATTTTTAGCCTCT